CCCACTCACACCTCTACCCCCACTCACACCTCTACCCCCACTCACACCTCCACCTTCTCACACCACTCCCACTCACACCTCTACCATCATTCACACCTCTACCCCCACTCACACCTCTACCCCCACTCACATCTCCACCCCTGCTCACACCACTCCCACTCACACATCTACCACCACTCACACCTCCACCTTTTCCTTCCCCTCCACCCCCACCTCCATCCCCATTCACAGCTCCATCCCCACCTCCACCCCTGCTCACGCCTCCACCCTTCTTCACACCTCCACCCCTGCTCACGCCTCCACCCTTCTTCACACCTCCACCCCTGCTCACGCCTCCACCCTTCTTCACACCTCCATCCCAGCTCACGCCTCCACTCCCCCTCATACCTCCGGCCCGCTCACACCTCCACCACTACTCACACCTCCAACCCCTCACATCTCCACTCACTCATACCTCTGTTCCCACTCACACCTCCGCCCCCACCGCCACCACTCACACCCCCACCACGCGCTCACCTTTGTCAACCCCTCCCGCCTCTGTCGCCACTGTCCTCTCTGCCTTCCAGGCTCAGGGAAGAGTCCTTCACAGGCCTGGTCGCACTGGGAGCTTCCTGATTCCTGTTTCTCTTCTTTCTGACCGTGTTCCTCACCCTTCCCAGCTGCAGACTATGGAAGCTCCTTCTGGGAGCTGTGGCTTTTCTCCTGAGACCCACACAGCTGCTGCCTCTGAGGGCAGTGTGGATAACAGAAGCGGGGGGGGGAGACTGGGGACAGGTTGGACACCACAAGGCTCAATTCCGTGGTCACCTGCAGTCCGCCCACCTGGGACTGTCCTAGTCGTTCCCTGCAACCGTCCATACCTTCTAGGCTGCTCAGTCCTCACTGGTTCCTGTCAGTCAGCTCTAAGCTGGTCTCCTGGTCAGGGCCCTCTCTGCGCACGGCCCCAGTCCTCTGCCCTTCCTTGCCTCTGTCTGCGTGCTTGGGGAGGATTGGCTGGTCTGTACGCTTCTTTACTCATTGTTTTTGGGTTTCAGAAACGGGAAGGCCTCCTGCATTCCAGCCTCATCACGGAGGAGCTGACCACGACCTCAGAGTAAGTGTCTCGTGCTCCCTGCTCTCCTGGCTCTAGCTCCCCCTTGGTGGGCCAGGCCCAATTGGCTGCTTCAGCCAGAGACGCAGGTGTGTGGCTCACTGTCCACTCGATGACCCCTTAGTCTGAGGATGGGATCTCCATGCCAGCTTCTGCTTTGTTTCTTCCATGCACCTTTCTCACAGTTTGTAATGTGAGAACTGAGTTATTTCCAAGATGTTTAGATTCTTTATTACTTTAGAAGGTGAGCTTTAAAGATTTTGAGAGAGCGATGGAAGCTGGGTGAACTCCCAAAACTATCACCCTGAGATCATGTTTAAATCTTAAACCAAAAGTATCCCCTGGACCAGGTTTGCTGGTCTGATGGAGCCTCGTGGAACCACTGGGCCTATGGCCCCTAGCTGCCCTTCAGGTCTGGAATTGAACCCACACCTGTGGCTTCCAGCCAAACAAAAGACAGGCACAGGAGGTGAACATTTCCCTGAGGTAGATACACTCCTTGGAGAGAACAATCATGGGAGAAAGAAGGGCTGCTTATGCACAGGGAGACAGCTCAGGGGGCGGGGATGGAGAGATGGACACAGGGAAGAGGTGACTGTCAGGAGGAAGTGGGAGGGGAGCTGTCCATTGGGGTAAATTGCAGTCAGTGTCATGAGACAAAGTGTATGTGTGGAAAGTGAATTTGCTCTGTAAACTTTCACTCAAATCACAATAAAAAAAAAATAGGGAAAAAAAAAAAAGATTCCCTGAAGTCTTCTTTAAACCAAACAATAGCTCAGTTAGTAGACTGTCTTTCTCGAGCACTGTACTCTTTTAAAGAATTATCTGTTGTAATTATCGTGTGTCATCTGTCTGTATGGGATCACATTGACAACAGCCACTCAAAAGGTTGGATAGGAAGCCTAGTGGTTGGGGAGGGCCGACTTGGAAAAGGCGGTGTGGATGGTTGCACACCTCAGAGAACGTGTTCAGTGTCTCTGAGTTGTACAGGTAGAAATCATTGAATGGGTGTATATTCTGTGTGTGTTTTGAACAGCAACAACAAACATAAAATTGTTGTTGTTATTGTTGTTATGTGCCGTCGAGTCAGCCCCGACTCATAGCAACCCCTCCTTGGGTTTCCGAGGCAGTATCACTACGGAAGTAGGATTGCCCAACCTTCCTTCCGAGGAGTGGCTGGTGGGTTTGAACCGCCAACCTTCTGGTTAGCAGTCAAGTGACTTAGCCACTATGCTACCAAACATAAAATTAAGTATTTTAAAAAATAAGATAAAATTAGTAGATTGAAAAAAGAAAAATAGCATCAAGAGAGAGTGAGGAGAGGAGGGAAGAGGAGGCGGGCAGGATGGTGAGAGACCGGCCATCGCTGTTCATTTATCTGTCTCACATTAGCCCCATCGTGGAGGGACCCACATGTCTGCTGGAACTTGCCTTTGACAGATGCTGTATAACATCTCTTTCCCCTTGGAGAGCTGGGGGTGATTTTTAAGAAGTCTGAAAGGCTCCCCATGTATCGAGGTAGCACATCAAATGGTACATTTGTGTGTGGTTTTTAAGAGCCCTTACAACATCCCATTAGGCGTTTTACAATTTGCCGACTTTGACCCTCTTGAACAGACCTGTTTCAAATGAAACAGAGTGTTGGACAACTGATCATTTCCATGAACCCACCAGCTAAGTGCACGGAGATTCATCACTGCACTGGGGACTCTCGGATGGTCTTTCAATTGGAGTTGATGCTGGAAGCCACACTCGTGGCATGTGGGCTGTCGGGTGGGTGGAAGAAGTGGAGACATTACTGATGTACCTCCAGTCCTCCAGACACAGAGGAGGGAGTGTGGAGGAGTGTGGTCTGTGCTTGGGGGGCTTCGGCAGCTAGCTGGGCCATTCCAGCAGCAGGAGGAGGGAGGCTCTAAAGGAATTGAGACTCAGATGTGCTGTGGATCAAATTATGTCTCCAGAAAAGATACGTTGGCATTCTAACCCCTTTTCCTGTGTGTAGGACCCAGTTTAGGAATAGAGTCTCTGAGGATGTCGTTAGTTAACATGAGGTCGTACTGGAGGGGGGTGGACCCTGGTCCAGTTTGAGTGGTGTCCTTCTGGAAGAGAAGAGACAGAGACCCACAGATTAAGATGGGTGTGAAGACAGAAGCAGAGACTGGAATGATGTAGCTACGAGTTAAGAAACGGCAAAGCCAGGAGCCAGCAGAAAGTGAAAAGGGTGAGGAAGCCTCTTCCCCTGGAGCCTTCAGTGAGGGGATGGCCCCGCAACACCTTGATTGAGGATTTCTGGCCTCCAGAACCGAGAGATGAGAAAGTGTTGTTATTTTCAGCCACCCAGTTTGGGGGACTCTTTAGGGAAACCCTAGGAAGCTAATACAGGTGGTATCTTAGTTCTCTACTTTTGTGTCACAACCACCCCAGGACCGACTGGGTTCAATCAACTACTATTTCATTGGCTCTCCATTC